CATTTTTTTGGTGGTTTCTTGGTTACCCGCTATCCAGGCAAATTATCCACTTAGGTCTCGGAAACCCAAGCTTGGTCAAACAAACTTGGCGAAGTTTCAGCCTGGCTCCCAGGGCGATGGCGCTCGGTCGCCTCAGGAGCGACACTTGCCACATGGGGCGTGGGGGTTGAAACCCAATCGCCGCATTGGCCCAGATCTGCTGGAAACCTGCACGGGAAAGAGTTTGTTTCATGTTCTCTTTGGGTGTTTCAAGGCACATGGCCATGTCAGAGTGCTTGGTATCGCACCTGAGATTTGTTGAGCATCAGGCAGGCAAAGCGCAGGACTCACTCTAAGGAAGGCAGCTGGGAGTGACCTCACGCGGGAATTTTCGGGTGACCCCCTCCACACACTTTTTGGGTGTCTGTTTCACAAAAACAAAGGGACATCAGCATCAACCACCATTTTTTGGGGGCTTCCATATACCGATTGTAGACAAGATGAGACACGCCTATGTCCGCGTTTGCATAGACTTCACCTTTCGGGATGATTTCACATGAGTTCCTCTGGGGTGTTTGTGCTGAATACTGAGATGCAGCAGAACCTCGAGGTATTCTGATGAAATAAAGCCTTTCCACTGAAAGGACTTGAACGTGTGACTGATGAATTGCGGATTGCCCGCACGACTAGACATTGCAAACCAGAGCGACCGGCAAGGGCATTCTCCCGCAGACAGCGAGAATTCTACTCATCTCAGATTTTGAATTGGCATTGAAGTGCCCAAGCCATGAATGCCGGAGAATTGCCAGCCAACCCTTTTGCTATACTCAAACCCTGGAGACGGTTCTATCAAACTTGGGTGATCGAGGGGGTAGATTTCCTGGTGTTGGAGTTTGTTTTTTTGTATTATTGTGAGTCCTAATGAAATCTTTGAAACGCGGGTTCAAACCAAAAGTTGGGAGGGTGGGGCGATGCTCAAGCGAGGATCTAAAGTCTTGCTCCATTCGACCATTGGCAGCTTTCACCTTCAACGGAGCTGGCAATCTCAGCAGGGATGAGTTGATCCGCTTGGTACTTCTGATAGGTTTGTGCCTAATCTGAGTGTTCTTAAAATTGGGCATCCCCATTTCTGTTCTCACGGAGGACTGACTGCAAAGCACCAACCCTGCAGCCAGTTCAGAATAGATGACAAGCAGACTCATTTGTCTCCATAGCGAGATGCCATGCAGACTCAATTTGTGTCCATAGCGAGAGACCCCAATTCCCTTTGAACAAAGCAATGGTTCCCTTCAAAACCATAATTATTGCCCACCGTCAGGCTGGTGCCCGCTATATGGCGCCCATGCAAGGAGCTCGGGATATTTGACTCTCATGGCGCTTGGGTCTGGTTTTATTCGGAATCCTGTTGAACATGACAACCACCTTCTTTGGTGGTCTCAAGCAACACAGTTTTTGCCCATGGAAGGTTAGTTTCCGTTGGTCGCGGTGATGTGTTAAGGGCAAATTATAGGAATCTCTGTGACACATTCAAACGGATGGGAATCCCACTTTAGTAACACACACACAGCCACACACACACACACACACGCATGTTCATTCATTTCTGCACTCATAAATGTGTCTGGGCAATTGTTCGTGGGGTCGCCACCACACGCATGATGACGGCTCCCCAAAAATTGGTCTGAAATTTTGAGGCACCAGTCGCTTGGACCATGGGCCCGAAGCAACGAAGCAGGAGACAGGAGTTGTTCTCCATGCTGGGAGGCTCCAAAGGGTTCCTGGGATGCACAGAACCACCTGCTTTTTACAGAGGGATCCTCAAAGTCCGCTGGGAGAGGTGATGTGTTTAATGGCCCAGTTCATTTCATTTTAGGGACCTTGGTCCATGCTTGAAAGATGTTATTATTACTCCAAACCTTCGGCCTCCCCCTTTTTCAGTGGCTCTTGCGACTGCAGCAGGCGCTCAGTTCATCCTGATTTGATGCCACGGCAACGGTTGATCCACCAGGGCGGAAATGTCTTCCTTGGCATCCGGGAGTCGTACGTTCAACCATCCTTCAGCATGCCTTTCAGATCCTCCTCACATATTAAAGATGCTGTTCAGCCACTCTTTGTTTGCGGATCAGGTCATTGATGAGGGGGCAACCGGTTATCAGGGCAGATTTTTCCTCGCATCGTGGTAAGTTTGTCTCCCCACAAGCAAGGCTCCTTTGGGTTTTTGCGCGCTCTTGGTTCAAGAGATGACAGAGAAAGCCTGCCATGGATGGCCATATTACGCTGGCCGGACCAAGATGTTTGCCAAACCAGACCAGCTAAGATCACGGGCAAGAGCATGGAGGAACTAAACCATGTTTGATGGAGTATTGCTATACACGCGGTGCAAGCAAATCATGGGAGACATGAAGTAAAGAGCAGCACCCATGACAGGCATCGGATTCCAGGAAGCGGAGCTCGGCATGCTCACGAGCTTGTCAAACCATCGATGGGGTGACCTGACAAAGAGGTATATAATCACCTGCAC